GGAGTACCGAAACTGGTAACCACCAGCAATTAATTTTATTAGTTTTAGACAATTTAGAAAGGCGTACACTTTATCCAAATATGACCGCGCTTCACTGGGTGTGTAATTTTAGTTTTTAGCAAAATAATGAATATCCATGATACAAACATTAATTTTGTCAAAAGAATATTAACTAATACAAAAAGGACGAAATGCTGATTGAAGGAATTTATTTTTGAAGTATTTACATATTGCTAAATGGCGAAGAGCAAGAAATTTGTTTATTACAATGCTTCCAAAAACATCAAAAGAAAAATAATAGGAAATTAATGAGCAACCCTTAATATATAACTATACATACTATACATACATACATACATACATATATAGCATTAGATGAAATAATTATATATAATTAAGTAAGAAAAATGTAGCTAGGTTTATTAAAAAAATTAATAGAAAAACATATTGAAATATAACTCGAAGGAGCAATATGAGTAATGCTTAAAGAACAAAATCAAACACAAAACACACAACAAATGTATCCTTAATCAGATAAAGGTAAACAAATAATAATAATAATATTATTATTATTACATACATACTTACATATATACAAGAGTGCAATAATCATAGATATAGAAACAAAGTATACATACATCAATATAAAATAAATTTACTCAATTTTAACGAATGCTAAACAAAAGACCGATATACATACATACACGTATGTAAGTCTTAAAGCCTAAAAGAAAGCTTAAACTGCAAAAAACATAAATGTAAACAAACAAAAGCGAGCTGAAGAAATGCAAGAAACTTATAAAAACAATCGGCTATTTGCAAATATTATTTCTTACTTACAAACAAACATACTTAACGGAACAACAATAGCAAATCAACGCATCATTGAATAAATACATTTAAAAAATGCAATAAGTACACACACACACTTATATACATAGAAATATAATTAATATTATATATACAAGGATATTTATACTAAATAATATCTCAAGCATATTTTATTCTAAAATACATATATTACAGTTATAATAATGTAATGCAAATTCGTAATCATAATATTACAGCAAGCAAGCAAGCAAACAAAATGGAAATCAAAATTTGTGTGGAAAGAAATAAATTTATATTAATAAATGAATATGACAATATACATATGCGCCTGTATTATAAGTTGAAATTGAAATGTACGAGTATGTATACCAATAAAGGATTCAGAACCAAACAAAACAAAATATTTTATTTACTTAATTCCTCAGCTTTATGCATTTGCATGGGTGGGGCCTTTGAGAGTATTTCTGGCATGAAACGAAAATTTCTCATGAAAATACCCCCGTCCGTTCGGGGGCTTAAAATGTACTATGGGTACCTCCAGTTGTTAGAAAACAGCAAGACTCGTACCACAAATTGTAGGAGGAGCTCGGCCGAAAATCGCTTCAGCGGTTCCAAAACACCAATTATATGAAGGGTTTTCCAATAAGAAGTCTTATTTTGATGTCAAGTAAAAACTACGCCAGTAGTCAGAAATTAATGCATTGAAATTATTAAAATTCACTGTAAAAATGGTGAAAAACTGACAGAGACGTTTTGTATAACAAAATCATTTTTCAGTGGTCGTGAAACACCTTGCCGGAAAGTAGTAAAGAAATTAGGGGAAAATATGGAGGTGTTGATGTGAAGAATAAAACACGTGCATGTCGCTCCAGAGCGACTGAGTATATTGCAGCTGTAGCCCAATGTGTTGAATAAAACCCAAGTTTGTCCATTCCTCGACGTTCTTTGCAATTGGGCATTCCACAAACGTCATTACACCGCATTTTGCATAAATACTTGGGTTTTAAGCCTAATAAAGTTCAGTTCACACAGGAACTCCAGCCGGCCGATCATCAATAACGTCGTCGCTTTGTTGATTTGGGTCGCTGGAATGCATGAAAATTATCCAGAGTTTCATCATCCTCAATGTGTAATTGTTTGGTGCGGTTTATGCTCCGGCGTGGTCATTGGACCTTACTTTTTCGAACATGCGGCTGGATGGAGCAACCGGAAATGGATGGTATTGATTTGGACAATGTTTATTTTTAACAAGACGGCGTTACATGCCACACAAGCAATGAAACCACCCTTCTCTTAAGAGAATTGTTTTCGAACTGGTTTATCTCTCGAGAAGGTGATCGCAATCGGCCACCGAGATCATGTGTGTTAAATCGCGACTTCTTTTCTTGAGGCCACGTGAAACATAAAGTCTACGCCAGCAGGCCTACACTGTCGATTCAAGATCTCAAAGAAGTCAAAGAATAAATTCGTGAAGTTATGGAGATCATACAGCAGCTGCTTTGCGACTTGGAGATGGAAAATTTCATAAAAAGGATACCGTTCTGTAAGCGTAGCCACGGCGTCCATTTGGCTGATATTGCTTTCAATTATTAATGGCATATCCTCCACTGCACATTAAATTAAACATCCGATCGTTTATGTTAAAATGGCATTTTTCTATGAATATCAAATTAACACCTCCTATTGGGTTATCAAATATATATTTATATATTATATATATGTAAAAGCGAAGTAGTAGTTGTGATGTACCAATGTCCATATCTGAAGAATGGGCACAAAGGCTTGATATCTTACTTGCTTAAGTCCAACAGGTAGTAAACTTTTATTTGATTTGACTTTACTTTTTTTATTTTATTCTATTTTCTTTTATATAAGTGCCCGTAAAAATATTGTTCATTTCGGCATTTCTTGGGAAAACATCAAGACGTGAAACCTCAAATTGGAGGAGGAGTTCGGCCGGAAATCACTTCAGCGATTACAAAGCGCCAATTATAATATATACTCATACTTTTATACATATATGTAATGCTGGATGTAGAGTGACGAACATATGACAAGACTAAACTAAACGAGAGACGAAAGGAAAAGAACGACAACGAGGGACGCCAAGTCCGTCATTTATTAAAATGGGTCGCTTAGCTACCGCAGACGGCGCACATAATCGTCCAGCTAAGAATTAGGTAAATTCTTAAAGTAATTTGAAAATACTTGATCGGTCACAGATATTATAATGCCTGTGCAACGTCATTCCTCCTCAAATATAGATTCTTTAAGTTAAAGTAAAGCCGAAGATCGAATGTGTTTGTTTCTCAACGTTCTCAAGGGCTGGGATTTTTTACAGCACATTTTGGTGTATTTTGCATACTTTTTACAAATACACCTCTCTGAAGCCACTAGAGTCACGTGACATAGCGCGTTTATGCGGATAAACCTTTAACTCTTGCCCACTTGAAAACCAATATTTGTCAAGTTATAACTTAGATACCGACCAATATGTGACAAAAAGTTGTCGAAAATTACGTCAAATGGATCGAAGCTAGTAAAACTTCGAGCGGTGGTCATTTGATTGATGTAGTATCTCACATAAATTTCATCAAAAAAAATATTTGAAATGCATTTTATTTACGTTTATTTTCGAAACCGCAAAATTAATAACTCTGTATATATATATATATATACGTATTTGCCTTTCATTTAATAGGAAAATTACTCCTATTTTTCTGTATTCTTATTATTTGTAGGAAGTGTCATTATACTTCTCTCATAGAAACCGTTGTTTCCATTTGGCAAAAAATTGAGATAATCGATTTTCACAGGCTTCTCTTCAAGCCAATTCTTAAAGACCCATATTTGTCGCCGTAGACAGGAACAGATAGTAATAAACTTGTGCGAGGTCCGAACCATAAAGTTGATGCATAAGAGCTTCACACCCAAGCTATCAGTGCTACTGTCGAGTCACCATTGATGTGTGTGATCTGGCGTTATCCCGTTAAAACACAGTTCCCTTCCTGTTAGCCGAATCTTCTTTCAGAGGGACAAATTAAGAGTACCAGCTCACACTTAATGATTTCTTGTCAATTTCACCAAATACATTACAAAACCTTCCTGTCATTCAATCCAAATTAAATAAAATCGGTAAGCCAGCCGGCGGAAGACCTGTGACGAATAATACAGATCAAATCATGGAATACATCGAGTTTGACCCGGCATATGGTATCTCGTGACATCGCTCAGGAGATGGAGTTAGTCACCAAACCATTTTGAACCATCTGCAGAAGGCTGGATACAAAAAAAAGTTTGATGTTTGGGTGCCGCATAATTTGACGCAAAAAAACCTTCTGGACCGAATCAACGCCTGCGATATGCTGCTGAAACGGAACGAACTCGACCCATTCTTGAAGCGGATGGTGACTGGCGACAAAAATGGATCACATACGACAATATCAAGCGAAAACGGTCGTGGTCGTAGGCCGGTGAATCGTCCCAAACAGTGGCCAAGCCGGGATTGATGGCCAGGAAGGTTTTGCTGTGTGTTTGGTGGGATTGGAAGGGAATCATCCACTATGAGTTGCTCCCATATGGCCAGACGCTTAATTCTACCATCTACTGCAAACAACTGGACCGCTTGAAGCAGACGATTGACCAGAAGCGTCCAGAATTGGCCAACAGGAAGGGTGTAGTGTTCCACCAGGACAACGCCAGACCAAACACTTCGTTGATGACTCGTCAGAAGCTACGGGAGCTCGGATGGAAGGTTTTATCGCATCCACCATATAGCCCGAACGTAGCGCCAAGTGATTACCACCTGTTCCTGTCCATGGCAGTTGGTGGTGTGAAGTTGAACTCAAAAGAGGCTTGTGAAAAGTGGCTGTCCGAATTCTTCGCAAATAAGGAGGGGAGGCTTCTACGAGAAAGGTATTATGAAGATGCCGTCTAGATGGCGCATATTTTAACTAAATCCGATCACTGTAACACTTTTTATAAAGCATTGAATGAAGAGCAAAAAAGCGGAAGGGAGATATTTGACAACCTATATATATATATTCTTATATTTTTTTTCAATTCGAATGCCAATGAATTAAAAATGGTACATGTCCAGTAGACAGATAACACAGCAACACATATTTCAATGATTTAATGATTTGAAATAAAATAATTTCTTTTCAAAATTTTTTATTCTTCATTCTCTTGGTACAAATATCAAGTGTTCATATCTGTAAATAGTTATTTATATATGAATATCTGGGTATGCACTACGTACATATGTATAGTATTACATAAATTACACTTCTCTTACTATTTCTATAAAATAAGTTATAATAATTAAATTTCTAAAGAAGGCCAATACTATTGCACTGTCTTTGATTGCCTTGAGTTACATACATATATTCATGCATATACATGATTTAATAAAATACAATTTTACAAGAATATATGTACAATCTACAATTCCATTGTCTTTTTTCTCTTGCGTTGCGCAAAAAAACAAATCACAATAATTTAACATTTATTTATGGAGCACAAAAAACGGACACACAAAAATCTAGAATCAAATTCTACACAATTCACAAAGTAACACTTTAAAGCGATATGTTTTAATAAATTTAATTATTTTTGTTGAGAACTACAGTAACTGTCCCATTTGTATTTTATTTATTTAAGCGCCGCTTTGCAAAGAGTTGATAAATTCCAATCGCTGCAGATAATGTACCGATTGCGCCCACTTGAAATGTTGACAGCTTACCGCCCCACAGGTAGCCCTTGGGCAGTGTGCTAACGGCATGTGTGAAATCGAGTGACAGTCGCAGTATGGATAGTAACTCCAGCCGATGTTTTTTTAGTAGTTTTTCATCAACATGGGAACTAGAAGTAGCGGGAAATGAAATGATATAATAAATATAAAAGCAGAGAGATAAGGCATACATATACACGTATTTTATATATATAATAAAATAATTAAAATTTATATACTGTAGCTTGAAATGTGGAACTTCATAAATCAGTTTCGCATACACGTGTGCATATAGTGTTCAGAAATTTATTTATTATTTTGTATGTATGTATGTAATAAAGTATATGAAAGTTCATATGAAATTAATATTAACAACTTTATAAGGTTTTCAGATCGGTATATATATCCAGCTTATAATTCAATAATACCTTCAACATTGTATTAAAAAAACTTATTTATGGTAAAATGGATTTTAGTCAAAATTTGTTTATATAAGAGAAATACATATGCAAACGTAAGTAGGGGTTTTGAGGGATTCATATATTATTACCCTTAGAACTCTGGACTTGAACCTCTGTATTTACTCAATATACCACAGGTCATACCCCACTTTGAATACCATGCATCCAAATTGTCTTTATACAGAGTTTTCTAATAAGAGGTATTATTTCGATATTCAAAGAAAATTGACATTGTTTTTGATAATTGATCGGATGTTTGTTTCAATGTAAAGTGGAGAAGATGCCATTAATAATGGAAACAATATCATCCAAGTGCTCACCACGGCTAAGCTTATAGGATAATATCCTTCTTATGAAATTTTCAATCACCAAATCGCAAAGTGGCAGCTGCATAGTCCCAATAGCTTCATAGATGCCATCTTTGGGATCTAAAATCGACGTTGCCTTATTGGCGTAAGCCTTATCTTTCACGTGGCCTTAACAGAAGAAGTCGCGAGGTATAAAACCACAAGAACTCGGTGGCCAATAGCGATCATCTCTTTGTGAGATAACACGTTTCGGAAACTTTTCCCTTAAGAGATCGAAGGTTTCGTTAGTTGTATGGCCCTGTCATGTTGAAAGTAAACGTTGTCCAGATACCTTCCAATTCCGGCCATAAAAAATCATAAATCATCTCTCGATAGCACATTCCATGCAGCCATTAACTGTTGCTCCATCCAGTCGCTTATTCGAAAAAGTGAGGTCCAATGACAACGCCGGACCATAAATCGCACCAACCAGCTATACATTAAGGATGAAGAGGGTTTTCAAATAATAAATCTTGGGTTTTGCTACAGTTTTGATTTTGACATAGACGTAGCGAAGATGATTTTTCGATGAATAATTTTAATTTATTTCAAAGACCCAATCAGCAAAGAACTGAACTTTAAAAGCCTGAAAACTCAGATTTTTTATGCCTTACGATGGCCGAAAAATGTTTTAGTTTCACGAACCGTCTTTGTCAGGCTTTCAACCTTTTTCTAGTGAATTTTCAAGTGTGAAGTTACATTCTTATTATGTCAAAAATAACAGCTTCAAAAGAGACAACTACCCTAATAGCAGGTTGTTCAAAAAAAAAACACCTCTTAATGAAAAACCATTTTATTCATTTTAATTTGGAATGGATTTATCCAAAAGATAAGATAGCCAATATTACGAGGGATAATAAAAAATTGTCGATGGCCGAGTGGTTAGGTTCGGAAGGCTCGGGTTCATATCCCGCTGCCATCAACATCCAAAAGTTATGGAAAATTAATATAAATAGCAAATTAAATTCAATTTTCTAATTGCGGTCGCCCCTCGACAGGGAATGTCCAAGTCATGAGTGTATTTCGGACATGATATAAAGACTCCCCGTAAAAAAAGATCAGCCGTTCGGAGTCGGCTTAGTATAAACTGTTCCTCCATTTGTTGGAAAAACATCAAGACGAAAAACTACAAATTGAGGGAGGAGCTAGGCCGAAAATCGCTTCAGCGGTTATAAAATGCCAATTATATATATTAAAATATAATACTAAATACCATATTTAAAAAACTTCGGTTTCTGGATAATATTCAATGCAGCGGAATATTCACACTATTTTTTATAGAATAAAAAATATGATGTGTAATCTTTCTATACTAAGCTAGCGATTTGGGTATTTGCTTTGTGATTTTTCTACTTACTTAGCCACATTCACCGCATCCACTTTCCGTTGATTCAGTGAGTAATTGCGCAATGTTCTACACAAAAAAAAAAAAACAGAAAGCAAAGCCATTAAATTAAGTGAGAAAATATTAAAACAACAATTAAAATCAAATTAATCTTTACTACATACACGGCGGGCATATGTATATGTGTGGGCATACCTCATTAAATTCAGGTAGACAGAGATTACCCAAAAACTCGAGTCAAGAACGTCCCAAGCATCAGCGTTTTTTACATCGATTATATTATGTTCAGAAAGCCAGCAAATTTTCTCAATTGGATAATAAAGTATATCGACTATATTTGCTGTGACTCCCAACACTGCCATTAGCCGATCAGATTCCTCTTCGCCCCAGCCATATTCCAAGGCGTATTGTATCATGGGAATATCGTCGATTAAGCGTAGGGTTGTACGAGCTCCTGATATACGTGAACTGGCGATGGCATAACGCTTCGCCAATTCGGGATTACGACTCGCATGATAACCGGCCACAAGCTTAGCGCTGTAACACAGAGCTTTCATTACCTGAAAAGAAATTAGTAATAATATACTATAATATATAGTATAAGCTAATAGATAATGACTATGAGACAAACATACATTCCGAAAAAGCTAGAAATATCAAACAATAGTCTAGGAAAAGTAATATTAAAGAACTATTTAATGTTCGAATCCAGTTATCATTGGAACTTTGTACCAATGGCTATTTAAGAAAACTGCTTCGTCGCCTTAAATCCTCATTTTTTTCATACCAGTCAAATGAATATTAGAAATTAACATGACGTCCGACGAGAAAAAAAATTATGAAAGTGCTCCTTCAAGGGCAAAGCCCTAAATTCATTGATCATGGCGGAATAAACACGGTGGTGATGCAACGCCGCTATGCAACGATAATACATTACTTCTGGCCGATCTAATCATCTGTGGAAGCAGAAAAGAAGTATCTTTCCCCTGAATCTGTACTAAATCCTAATTTACTAAAATTATATTACATTTTCCCCTATGGAAAAGGCATTTGGGGTTGTTGCTAATTACTTCTTCATCTTAGCTCAGCTGCACAACGGCATGTAACCTGAAATATTTACAACAACACCCTTAAAATTCCCCAATATTGTTTAATTTCTACATTTCGAAACTCCCTTCTACACCAGCAGAAGTTTCTCTGGCCGGGATATTAATAACCTTTGTTCGAATTTAACAGCTACCTCGACGACCTGTCCCACTATTTCACTGCACGACAGCTGAAAATACAACCGACAAATACTCGGCCACACTCTTCACCACCTGGACGAAGGAGTACAGGCTCGAAGGTAGATGAAGTGAAAATTCCGACCATAAATAACCCACAGATACTGAGAGTCACATTTAGGCACTCCTTCACTCCGCCATCAACCGCAATTGCCGCAAACTCCAGAGCCGCAACAAAATACTCAAAGCGTTAGCCGGTAGTACCTGGGGTAAAGATAAAGAAACCTTTCTGGCAACATATAAAGCAATTGGCTGGCCAGTCGTAAATGCTGGACGCAGGGGACGAACGAGACACAGATGAAGAAGCTACAGGCTGGTCACAATTTCGCCCTCAGGACAGAAAACCTTCTGATGTCGCCGGAGCATCACTTGCACAGCGAAGCATCTACGCTACGAGTTAAGGGGCATAATGCTTTGCTGTGCAAGCAGTTCCTATTGGGATGTTACCGTAGGGAGAATAATGGAGATAAACCACCTTCCATAGCAGACAACGCGCTCGATCTGCCTCGAGACCTATACAGACTCGACCCCAACGTACCCAACGTAGGCCCACCATTTGGAAAGTCTCCAAGCCGACATATCTAACCCGCCTCTCCCTCTAGTCTGATCCCGTCGAAGCAGCAAGTTTGCTGATATTGAATCTGTCCCTAAGCAGGTTAACGTAGCCGCTACAACAACAACAATACAAATTCCAGACTCAATTGATTATCTCTCCAAACGTTTTCGGAAAACAAAAAAAAACGACCTTTCATAGCTCCGTACTGATCGCGATGGACAGCTTTCTTCCTTTCAATTGTAATGTCTAATAAAATATCTAACGTTCCATAAGCGTCATAAGTAGCACCGCAAATCCTCTTTCTTCCTGTTTTCAAACAAACTTTTGAAAACTTTTGGTAAGCACTCTTCGGTGATCCTTTTCTGCTATTCGGTTTTCGAATCGTACTAGAGCCAAGATTCGTTACCAGTAAGGACTTTACTAAAGTTATTAGAATGACCAATTTCGAATTTGTTTAGGAAAAATTGAGAAAAATGCACTCGAGCCTTTATTGGGCCTCATTTAAAATTCGGGATACCCATCGAGCGGATTTCTTTATGTATCCCAGATGATTACTTGATATTCGCAATACAGCCATGGCATTGAAGGCCAATTTATTACCAATCATTTCTTGTGTCAGTTGTGGGTGTTCGTCACTTTTGGACTTTACCAGAGCTGCAGTGACGAAAACGAACAATTGGCGACGAAAAGATTGGACAGCGTAATCGCGGAACAGCCAAGATCTGGTTGTGGTCTGCATCAGATTATACTTTTGTTAATGTTAACATTTGACGAGACGGCATGCAAAAAAGTGGTTAGTATGCCATACGCTGTGTATATGCGGGTCTATTCTAGATAGATCAAACTGGTTAAGCAATTCCCTCCCTTTGAGGAGAGTTTGTGAAGGATAAAGGCTTTGAATGCCTCGCTGCGTGCAGCGGTTCCGTGTTGTCTAATGTGTCATCAACAATTACCTAATTTTCCTTTATTTCAATTTTTCCTTTATTTTTTTTTTTTTGCAATGACGCTAATACTGAATGGTCACGGTTGCGAATCGCAGCCAAATTAACATCCAAAAGATTTTCCAAATTGCGGTGGACTCTTCAGGAGTGTCCGTAAACCGTAGTTTAAGGGGGGAGGTTTTGGCTTAAATGCAACGCTATTGTCACGTCCCTGGAGGGAGGAGATGAGAGCAAAGTCACGTAGATTTCTTAGATTGTTTTCCACAGGTGAATTATTTATTGTTACTAAATATTTAGTAAGTCGTATGATATACGTGTATAAGAAAATTACGTATAGAAAAAAAATTATTTACAGTTAGTTTAAAATAAAATATTTTAAAAATATGAAAATAGCAGAAAACAAAATGATGAGTAAAACAAAAACCGTCAGACAGGGAAGGAGGGGACAGAAGAAAGTCCACAACAGATTGCATTAAGGTGACGGAGGTAGCGAAGGGCCTAAAAATACCTTCGAATGTATTTATGACATAAAGAAATTCCTCATAAAAGTCCAGCTGCAGCGTACAGCCGTGGGTCCCACCATGTGATGCACAAATATAAATTGGAGGAGGAGCTTGGCCAAAAATCAATTCAGCGGTAATAAAGCTCAAAGAATATATATAGAATAAAGACGAAGAAGCTGAGAGATTTCGTTCTGAAAACAACAAAACCAATACAATGTGTGATATAAAAATAAATTACTTGTGCTGATAAGAGCAAATAATGCATTACTTATGTATACATACATATAAGTATGTATCGACACCGCTTGAGTTCAGTTTTCAAATGTTATCTTTATTTAAATAAGTCTATTAAGATTGCGAGTTCTGTTGGCTTTAGAAAATAAGACGGTTCCGCAGTAAAGCTACAAGCAAATATACGTAAAAACCATATAACATTTTAAGTCTTTTAAGTCTTTATATAAATAAAGTAATAATTAGTAATTATATATATGTATATATAGAGAAATGTTCTTCGTTATTTTGATCTTTTTTTTATTTTTTTGTTTTGTTATTTTTAGTCATATACAGGGGGTTGCCATCTAGGCCTTTGGTATTTGAACATTGAGGAACTCTGATATTTTTCAGTCGAATTTGACAAATGAGCAAGATTTATTTAGGATATACTTTGCCATTTTTTTCGAATCAGTTCCAGAACAAAACATCGATTAAATGACCACCTTCATTCGTTACCCAAAAATCAGCCAACATTGGCCAGCATTTCAGGCGTTAAAGCAGCTATTTCGGCTCGTATGTTATCTTTTAGTTCGACAATTGTTTTTGGCTTCCTGGCAAAAACTTTACTTTTTAAATAGCCCCAAAGAAGGAAAACGAGGCTTCCCACTCCAAATTACCAATTTTTCATGAAATTAGCTTCATACGATAAGCACTGTTTTCAAAACTAATCGCGGTACGATTTCTTGGTTATTATGGCACTGAATGACGTGTCAGAATTGTGCACATTTGTCGAAATCGCCTAAAACCGACAGAGTTATTCAATGTTGAAATACCGAAGGTCTAGCTGGCGCACCCTGTATAAGTAGTTGCAGTGTATAATCGTTTTTTTCGTTCCACCTCAAATATCGCGAGTGTAAGTGAAAGTGTAGCCGAGAGCCGAATGTCTCTAATTCTCGACGTTCTCAGAGCTAGGACTTTTTTATGGTGCACTAGCTGACCCCGCAGGCGTTGTCCTGCTGGAAATTATATTTTTTGAAAAAAAGAAGATAGTTGAATTTACATATAATATATTGGGGTGAAAATAATTTATTTACGATTTGTCTCAATTTTTTTTTTCAATGTAGCGCAGCTGGATAAACTACATTTTTTGTTTTCTTTCGGATATATTAATAAAAAAAAGTATATAAAATTAAAACCAAAGTAAAATAATCTAAAGAAAGTTAAAAAAACAATAATAATTTAAAAAAAGAAAACTAGAAAAAAATATTATGGAAAAAGGTCACTTTTTGGAATTTCACGATTTTTCCTCCGGAAAAGCAAAGGTTTTTTTTCTAAGCCTTCCCTGTTTCACCACGAACAACCTCGGAAAATGTCATCAAGATTGGTCCAGCCGTTCTCGAGGTTATAGCGTATTTTGTATCTTGAACTTGCACCTACGACCAAATCAAGTTCAGCTAATATAACAACGGAAGCCAGCTGACCTCTCGCAACGCCGTACATACGTTAAGCAATAGATGGGGATTTGTCGAAAAAATGTTTCTTCAGCAACGGCACATTTCCCACTCGCGGGATACGTAAATAAGAGAATTTCCAAATAATTGAAGAAAAGCCTTTATACCCAAACTAATATTACTCTCTGCTGCACTCTTTGGTTCGGGGACTCGACCTTATTTATTTGACGGCGAGACCCTTTTTGGCAATTCAACAAGACGACTTGGACAATATGGCCTCATTACGAGAGAAATTTCCCGCTCGTAATATCTCGTCACGGCGATATCAATTGGTTACCGAGATCACGCGATTTTAGTTTTTTTTTTTGCGATTATTTTCGAAACCGCAAAATGGATAATCCTGTATATATATGTATAGGTATAACGAAGTATTTACACTTTTTAGGTGCACATTTCGATGCTGTTTAACAAACGCCTTAGCGGCGGGTCCAACGCACGCGATTCCGATTGTAATGGCTTAATCACTTAATGTTATGTATATGAGTGTGTGTTTTCGGATTGTTATTTAAAAAATAATAAAAACGCCACTTGTGACATGACAGCAATTCAACGT